AATTTACTCACGTACTTAATAACTCACGATCGATAAAAATTTACTACCGATTACTAACGATTTATAAACGATTAATGCACTCAATTACTAACCACATACTTGTTATAAATTAATTATAAAAACGACACGAGAAAAAGAAACATGTTAACAATGTACCGCGCGCGAACGCGGTACTCGATGCGAAAATGCGCGACGTGACGATCGTCGACAACAAGCAGGTTAGGTTGGTACTAGCGCCTGGGATTTAGCGCTGCCGAACGTGCATATATGGTATTACGCGATATAAATCGTTAATAATTGGTAGTAAATTTTTATCGATCCTGAATGATTAAATGCGTGAGTAAATACGATAAAAAAGGAAAAAACTTTTCTTTCGTCTAACACGATGTGTCAGAGTATATGTGTGTGTGTATTAGGACAATGTCTCATTGTTATCAACAATGTGTTACATGTGTAACAATCATTTATCGTCATATGAATCTCTATTCACAAGGTAAGAATAAATAATAAGTGAGTGAGAGAGGGAGTGAGAGAGGGAAAGAAAGAGAGACAGAATTAACGTGCATGTGTGTATATGCGTGTACATTCACACACACGCACGCACGCACGCACGCACGCACGCACGCACGCACTTATTGCTACTCATCGCATATAGTAATCAGCTGATCGCGGCGTGCATCCCGCGTAATCACCTATATCAGACAGTGCATCACACCGTCCCTGCCTACCTCTTGTACTCGTTCGGTAATAAGTAAACTATTTTCCTTTATAGTTTATAAACTAAACTCCGGGCAAAATTTTGCAAAAGGAAATATCGTCTTAGAATTCATTCAAAAATTTGATATTTTAAAGACGAACGCTTGTTCAGAATCATTCTGTGTGTGTATATATATATATATATATATATATATATATATATATACAATATATAGAGTGTCCCAAAAGTCCTTGACCGGTCAAATATTTCATAAACTATGCATTTTAGAAAGAAATGTTTCAGACAAAAGATATATGGCTTGAAGGGGGCCATCAGATAGTGGCAATGATTTGACATGATAGAGTCATTTGAAGATCATCACGTGAAGATCATCGTCAATTTCTTAAATGGAACACCATATCTTTTTATTACATATTCGTGTAGCTTATCTCGAGAGCTTTCCAAAACACTATAATAAAGTATTTCTTCATTAAGTACTTTTCGAGGAATATCTTTATGAGGAATATCTTGTAAAATATTCTTTTTCCGATTATCTTATCTAATAATTTTATGTACAAAATAATGAAAGGAATCAATTGGTGTAAAGAAAAAACATAGTTGTTTTTAAGAAAAAATATGGAATTGTTAATTGCACATTATATATTTTTTCTTAAAAACAACTTTATGTTTTCGTTACACCAATTAATTTCTCTCATTATTTTGTACATAAAAGTATTAAGGTAAGATAATCGAAAAATGAATATTTTACAAGATATTTTACGGTTTATGTAAAATTAAGAAATGATTTCAAGCCTCATAACTCGAAAAGTACTCAATGAAGAAATACTTTATTATAGTGTTTTGGGAAGCTCTTGAGATAAGCTGCACGAATATCTAATAAAAAATAGGGAGTTCTATTTAAAAAATTAACGGTGATCTTCACGTGACTTTCAAATGACTCTCCCATGTCAAATCATTGCCACTATCTGATGGGCCCCTTCAAGCCGCATAACTTTTGTCTGAAACATTTTTTTCTAAAGTGCTTAGTTTATAAAATATTCGACCGGTCCGGAACTTTTGAGACACTCTGTATACAGGGTGTCCCATTTTAAGTATCCACCCCAAATATATCTCTCATTTTTTATTTTAAAGAAAAATGGTTCAGACATATTTTATATGATTTCGAGGGAGCCATAAGATGGTTCCATTGATTTGACCTTGAAGAGTCATTTGAAGGTCACATGAAGGTTATCTCAATTTTTTTAAATGGCACCCCTTACTTTTTATTAGATATTCTCGTAGCTGACCTCGAGAGCTTTCCAAAACACTATAATCAAATGTTTTTTCGTAAAGTACTTTTCGAGTTATAAAGCTCCAAATTTACAAAATTTTGATAAAAATACAAAATACAGGGTCCATTATGAAAGTAATGCGCATGATTTTATTGTGACGCGAATATCCATCGCAGTATGGTAAAATGAGTCGGGAAATGTAGTGTGGGGTGTGGCCTTCCAAGGCAGCCGATCGTCAGTTTGCTCCGAGCAGCCCGAGTGGAAAGACGTGCATCCGCGTGAAGTGTGTTTTTCGTCTTTGTAACACGGTGCGATGCAGAGTTCGCTTGAACAGCGATACGCCATCAAGTTTTGCGTGAGGCTTGGAAAGAATGCAACCGAAACATTCCAGATGCTTCAAGAGGCGTTTAAGGAAAACTGCATTTCAAGGTCACAGTCCGGGAGGTGGCACAAGGCGATCTCCTCCCGGCCCTCCTTGAACGCCTCTGCAAAACTTGATGGCGTATCGCTGTTCAAGCGAACTCTGCATCGCACCGTGTTACAAAGACGAAAAACACACTTCACGCGGATGCACGTCTTTCCACTCGGGCTGCTCGGAGCAAACTGACGATCGGCTGCCTTGGAAGGCCACACCCCACACTACATTTCCCGACTCATCTTACCATACTGCGATGGATATTCGCGTCACAATAAAATCATGCGCATTACTTTCATAATGGACCCTGTATTTCGTAAAACATTCACTTTCCGATAGTTTTATCTTACATGATCTAGCCAGTCAAGGCAAGATCCGAGCATGATCTAGCCAGTCAAGGCAAGATCCGAGCATGATCCAGCCAGTGAAGGCGAGATCCTGTATTGCCTGATAATCAATGAACTGTAAAAATTGTGCAATTGTCAATTCTTTTAATGAAACAAATATCAAGAGGCTTATTTCAAATTTCTTATTTGGGCAACATTCGGTATTCTGGCGAAGTCTCAGACAGACGCATATTATTATCCATTGACTTTTTTTTGATAAGACTGGAATTTTTGGTATGTTGGCGCTTTTTTTCTTTATAATTATGGCTGCTTATCCACCAAATGAAATTGTGAACATGATTCGCATTTTGGGTGAGGGAATAATTACTCGGCAGCAAAAAGGCTTTATGCTGAAAGATTTCCAGACAGACGCCATCCTGATAGGAAAGTAATAAAAAGACTCTGCGACGGAGCTGAACAGAATTTTCTTAGAAAAAACCGGCGAAAATCGGGTACTGATGAAGTCACATCATTGACTGTTATAGGTGCCGTTGCTTTGAATCCTCAAATCTCTACGAGACAAATTGAGAGGTAACACGGTATATTTAAATCAACAGCCAATCGTGTGCTCAAGCTCAATAAGTTTCACCCATATCACATTCATCTAACTCAGCAGGAAGAGAGGGACTGCCAACGCTGTGTATGTTTTTGTAACTGGGCTCGAGATCAAATCCAACAAAATCCCCGGTTCATTGTTGATACGCTTTTTTCTGATGAAGCCACGTTTTGTAATAGAGGAGGCGTTAATAGACATAACTGACATTATTATTCAGATGCTAATCCACATTGGCAGAGAAGCCAAGAGTTCCAACGGCAGTGGTCTATTAACGTTTGGGCAGGCATCCTGGGAGATGTTATTGTTGGTCCATATTTTTTTGAAGAAAATCTCAATGCGGCAGTCTATCTAAGATTTCTTCAAAATGACCTGCCCAACCTCTTGAGACATGCTGACAATGATTTATTCAGACGAATGTGGTTTCCAACAAGATGCAGCACCGGCTCATAGATCTCGAGCCGTTACACAATATTTAAACAATAAATTCCCGAATAGGTGGATTGGTATAGGTAGCCTATACCAATCCACCTATTCGGGAATCTATTGTTTAAATATTGTATGGTGAGTATAGGGAGTTCAAGAATGGCCCCCAAGATCACCCGACTTGTCGCCCCTAGATTTTTATTTCTAGGGCTACATTAGAGATATAGTTTATTCGCAAAAGCCTACAACCGTTGAAAATATGAAAAACCGGATCAGACAGGCTTGCAGAAATATTAATGTAGGTGTTCTTGAAAAAGTTAGGGACGACTTTCACCATGGATTAGAGCTATGCAAGTAAATGGCCAAGTTTTTGAACACTTAAAGTAATTGTACACAAAAGAAGATCTTGCCTTGACTGGCTGTATCATGTTCGGATCTTGCCTTGACTGGCTGGATCATGCTCGGATCGTGCCTTGACTGGCTGGATCATGTAAGATAAGACTATCGGAAAGTGAATGTTTTACGAAATATTTGGTACTTTTATCAAAATTTTGTAAATTTGAAGCTTTATAATTCGAAAAGTACTTTACGAAAAAACATTTGATTATAGTGTTTTGGAAAGCTCTCGAGGTCAGCTACAAGAATATGTAACAAAAAATAAGGAGTGCCATTTAAAAAAATTGAGGTAACCTTCACGTGACCATCAAATGACTCTTCATGGTCAAATCAATGGTACCGTCTTATGGCCCCTTCGAAACCATACAAAACATGTTTGAACCATTTTTCTCTAACATGAAAAATGAGAGAGATATTTAGGGTGGACACTTAAAATGGGACATCCTGTATATGAGAGAAAATTGTTTTAATCATATTACTTTATATGTAAATTTCTATTTTTTATATTCTTCTATTAGTAGCAAAATTTCTAATTCTATATGATTAAAAAATATTGAAGATCGAAGTTATATATATTCATTTATTAGGTTCATTTATTACTTTAATAATAAAATTAATATTACAATCGTAAAATAATATCGTAAAATAAAATCGTAAAATAAATTCGTAAAATAAAATAGTAAAATAAAATTTATCTATCTCGGTTTCTGATTTTATAAAACTGATTTATAACTTTGTTTAGTAAAAATTTCTCTGATTTTTATACAATATTATTTTATTTAAAAAATGATATAATAAATATTAATCGTCTTTTATATTTCTGATATTTTTGTACCTGTATTTCATAAAGAGGTGGTGGCGGAGGCGGCGGTAATCTACGATGTTTGGACTGTGATAAAGATTGCATTTTATTCGTCATCAAAGTATCAAAACATTTGAGAATGTTTTCATCACTCCTGGTCCATGAAAAAGTGTGCAACGTATGAGAATCAGTTGATGCAGGTTCTTTTTTGAGACTGTGATTGGATGAACAGATCGCACTACTGTATAGTGAACTCGTATTAGCAGCATAATGACTATTTAGATTGTTATGTAATAGATAATTACCACCAGAATTGTCCGTGTCACTAACACTTAAATTTTTATTAGATGCATATTTAGATTGCGAGGAAAAGGAAGAACCGGAAAGATAAGGCGTACTACGATACATTACTGAAGATTTGCTAAAAGATGGATATGGCGGTGGTGGATAGGCAGCCATAGCTGCCAGAAGAGAACCCTGCTTAGCATCGATATATTCCTGTTTCGACACTGCTGGATCTTTTAACGGAAACATAACATAGTCAACATCAGAATAAAGTTGTTGTTTGTATTGTTCTATTTGTGATCGAGTAATTTGATTTGTATAAACAGTCGTCAGACTGGATTGCGGTTGGAGTGGTAACGGAGTCGGTGATGGCGGCGGTGGTGGTTGTCGCGGATATACCATTGGTGGTGGAGGTGGTGTTGGTGGTGTTGTCAAGTATGGTAAAAGCATTGAACCATTTTGAGAGGCATGTACGTCCAGATAATTGTTTGGACCTACCACGAGAGCTGCAACCGGAGCATGTACTGGAGTAGGTTTCATTTTATCACCTGGATAAGTAGGAGGTTGGATTCTAGGTGGTGATTTTAGTGTGAGAATTGCTGTAGCATCATTAGTGGTTTTTATAATTCTCGGGATGGGATCAAACACCATTGACATATCGGGATAAGACGATGGTGGCGGTGGTGGTTCTCGTGGCATTATCGCATCGTTTCGTGGCGGTGTGGGCGGCGGTATTTGAATTCTTTCTCGTTGTGAGGTATACGGAGGCGGTGGCGGATTAATCCGTCTAGGTGGCAATGGAATAAAGTCATCTCGAATGATGTTATACGGTGGTAGTGGTGGTGGTGGTTCTCGTTCTCGATCTAATTTCGGTATGCTCGATTTCTTCTGAACATTAATTGTCACGTAATCAATATTTTCTATCGGATACAATGACTGTAGTGGCAGTTGTTGATCACTGTCCATGCTAAGTGTTTGTAGCTGTGGATGCGGCGGAGGCGGTGGCATAGTCACGTAATCGCAATCTGAATCCATAGAATTGCTGATGGTCTTACGTGGAGGATATCGACCAACTATTAAATCTGATAATTCGTCGGCCGATAGAAGTGGTCTCGCGCTGGACGGATCACTTCCGTCACCTCGAAAGCTGCCCGTACTGAGTATGCTGTTGCTGCGTGAGCGTGAATTCTCGAGTTGTTGATTTAGTGAAACTTCATCGTCATCTTTACAAATACTATATATTGGTTCTTGATCTTCTGTGCCAACGTCCTCAGTATAAACATCACTTCCAGATTGCAACCCGCTAATAGTATAAAAGCCAGACGTAACAGATACTTCGTCGGTAATGGATTGAACACATCCAAGAACACAAACATCGCTTGCGGCCGAAGACTCATTGGTCTCACTAGTAGGTAAATATAAATCATCGTCGATTCTTTCATCCTGTATTTCATTGCTTCTTAACGTATATATACCACTCGTCTCGCTCGCAATATCGATACCTAAAACATTATTCGAAGTTTATTATTGGCAAGCTAGATATTGATTTGTTCCTAATATATTTATATCAAATAGAATAAAATATATTAAAAATGATATATCTGCAAATTTTACTTAATTAATAAAATTTCCCATTTCAATTTTTGTGAATTTTGTAAAAATAAAAAATATTTTAACAATTTTCTATTAGATGTTCAATAAATACTGTTCAATAATATGTAACGTAATAAATAACAAATATAAATTACCTATATTAGTGCAGAAATTTACTTGCATATTTCGATTAGATTTCATGATTTAATCCTATTGGCTCCTTTCTCTTTTCGCATATTAGCAATAAATCATCAGATGTGTGTATTAAGAAGTGTAGCACTTATATTATTAGATTTAGGAATGTTCGTATACAGGGTGATTCAAAATAACCTCTGTGTCCGAAAAATGACACATTGTTGAGTCAATTCTAAGACGATTTTTTCTTTTGCAAAATTTCGTCCGAAGCTTAGTTTTGGAATTATTAAAGAAAGTAGTTAACGCATGACGGGTCAGATACAAGAGGCAGGCAAGGGTGACGCGATTCACCGTCAGACGCGGGCGCTTACGCGGGGCGCCTGCTGCGATCAGCTGGTCGCTATACACATACAGACACACATGCGAACACATACATTCTCTCTCTGTCTGCTGTTTGTCTGTCTGTCTGTCTGTCTGTCTCTCTCTCTCTCTCTCTTTCTCTCTCTGCTGTCTCTCTCTCTCTCTCTCTGCTGTCTCTCTCTCTCTGCTGTCTCTCTCTCTCTCTCTCTCTCTCTCTTTCATTCTCTCACTCACCTGTATTTTTTTTTTACGAGAGAAGGGAAAATGTATTTTATGCATATCCACCGGTCGATCCAGTGAGTTATGTGGGACTCGAGTACGAAGTCGAATTACCAACTCGGTACTCCCTACCCACTAAAAACCTCTCTCTTTTCACGAATTTTCTTTGACACACTGTCCTTCCCGAGATCCGTTTTGACATAACGTCAAAAAATAGTTATTATTACCTTGTTTGATGACTTCTGATGTATTGCTGTAATTGCTTGAAGGAGAAATGAATTTTCCAATAGATCGTACGTTCTCAAATTTAACGTAGATATCACGTTGCACAAGACAGAAATCCACACTAAATTATTAACTGAAAGTTTTTCTTCTTTCATGAACTGCATTCTTTTATAAACTTTAACATAACCACATTTATTTACTCACTCGATGAGACGAGAAATTTACTGATGACTCTATCACTAATCACTATTAATCACTGTCGAATAATAACTGTTGGCGATTAAAAATCACTCGATAAAAGAAACACGCACGGACACGTTACTACACGACGCGACAATGCGACGATAATTAGTCGGCGACTGCAAGAAGTTTTTTGTCATAGTAGATTGCAGTAGTAATAATATTAATATGTTAAATGTTTATTATGTTTACCGCATTCTTGAATCGAACACATGAACGTTCAATAACGCCAGTAGTACCTTAACCTACCGCAACCTACTATGACAAAAAACTTGCTTGCAGTTGCCGAGTAATTATCGTCGCATTGTCGCGTCGTCGCGTCGTGTAGTAACGTGTCCGTGCGTGTTTCTTTTATCGAGTGATTTTTAATCGCCAACAGTTATTATTCGACAGCGATTAATAGTGATAGAGTCATTAGTAAATTTCTCGTCTCGTCGAGTGAGTAAATAAATGTGATTACGTTAAAGTTTATAAAAGAATGCAGTTCATGAAAGAAGAAAAACTTTCAGTTAATAATTTCTATCTTGTGCAACGTGATATCTACTCTTAAGTCTGAAATCTGAGAACGAACGATCTATCAGAAAATTTATTTCTTCTTCAAGCAATTACAGCAATACATCAGAAGTCATCGAACAAGGTAATAATAACTATTTTTTGACATTATGTGAAAACGAATCTCGGGAAGGACAGAGGGACAGTATATGTATAAAATTCGTGAAAAGAGAGGGGTTTTTAGTGGGTAATACCGAGTTGGTAATTCGACTTGGTACTCGAGTCCCACCTAACTCACTGGATGGACCGGTGGGTATACATAAAATGCATTTTCCCCTTTCTCGTAAAAAAAAAAAAAATTACAGGTGAATGAGCGAATGAAAGAGAGAGAGAGAGAGAGAGGGGGGGAGAGAGAGAGAGAGAGAGACAGCAGAGAGAGAGAGACAGCAGAGAGAGAGAGAGAGACAGCAGAGAGAGAGAGAGAGACAGCAGAGAGAGAAAGAGAGAGACAGACAGACAGCAGACAGAGAGAGAATGTATGTGTTCGCATGTGTGTCTGTATGTGTATAGCGACCAGCTGATCGCAGCAGGCGCCCCGTGTAAGCGCCCGCGTCTGACGGTGAATCGCGTCACCCTTGCCTGCCTCTTGTATCTGACCCGTCATGCGTTAACTACTTTCTTTAATAATTCGAAAACTAAGCTTCGGACGAAATTTTGCAAAAGTAAAAATCGTCTTAGAATTGACTCAATAATGTGTCATTTCACGGACACAGGGGTTATTTTGAATCACCCTGTATAATAAGATTAATTTGCATGATAATAAGGCATGTTTAATAATAAAAGAATATTTTTTTAATAACATGGCGAATATTTGAAATTAATTTTTTTTCTAAGAAACTTACTATATGTCACGGAATATGTGGAATCTATTATTTCTTAATTATAATTACATTGTTATGTCCTGTAAACTTCATATTTTTTTCTTCCATGGAACATTATATTTTAATAGGTTTAAAAACTAAACAATAAGAAAGAGGTGAAATCTAACAAAAGAATTACAAACGACTTAACTCCATTTAGACTTAAACTCCATTTAATGTTTAATTAATGTTCTAAAATATAATCAAAGACTGAGACACAAGAATAACAATTCCTTAAGTACGAAATATTGCATGCTCTAAGAATAAAATGGCAAAACTACACATCATCACGTTTGTGAAATTGAGAACTTAATCTTAAAATATTAGATACTCCTCAAAGTTTAGTCAAGTTTATCGAATATTAAAAAATTGGATGTAAAAAATCGAAACAGAAAGATTTAAAAAAAAAAGGCAACAGAAAAAATGAAATAAAGTAACTATGGCTCTAAGTAATAATCATTTACTTAATGATGCATATATTCGCTTAACAGATCTTTATATGACAGTCAAAATTCAGATAAAATTTTAAGAAGTAATAAACATATAAATTTTATATTGTAAGTTTCTCCACGAATACAAATTATAATTTAATGTACTATTTCAAATAAGAATTTGACTTACTCAAATTCTGCAGACTTCCTATTTTCAAAGAATAGTCTAATTCGTTAGATATTTGTAGTTATTCTATTTGTTAACCCTTATTATTATAATTAACCAAGAGAAAAAGTTGCTACTAAATCTCGAATTAAACCATGTCTTTATGGAAGGAATACATTATAGAAAAGATACTAGAACATCTCTCGAAAGCCGCAGATTTTTTTCGTTTATTCGTTATTAAAATATTTTATTTGCAGTGCGGTTTGGTATTTTTCTTAATGAATTATTCTTATTATTCCTATTATTCAATAGTGCTATCATATTTTTACTGTTTTAATGCTCCGAATTAATCGGTACTGCAATTCTTCATTGTTTTTAGCTCTCACTATTAGAGTATATATCAATAACTCTATAAAACTCACTATCAGTGTAAATCCATCAGAAAGTGAAAAAGCAGATAAATCTATCAGAAAGTGGAAAAGCAGATTATGGTAGAGCAAATTTGTATCTCTCTCTCTCACTATCGACCATAACTCAAATTATTGCAATCAAGATTCTCTTTCTTTTTATTTGGATCAACGCAGTCAACAAATAGTGAATCCTTTTATTGTTTAAATTTTTTACTCCAGCAGAAATTTCCTAACTATCACGCTTTTCCGTTGTTTTACTCTTTAATTTTATCTTCACCATTTTCCAGGTTTAATTATTTATATAGCTAATAAAAAGATCCGTTTTTTATTAAATTTATTCAGATTTCAGTTCTTACAGATGTTATTAAGGACATCAGTTTGAGTAATATTGTAAAGGTTTTAATTGATGCTCGTTGATTATTAAAAAATTATTAATAAAAAAACTTTTTAAATCAAGTGTAATTATTCTTCTCTAGAGAAAGTTAAGATAAAACTGCTGGAATACAGCTCCAATATAATGACCTTAATCTTGACATATGTTGTCATGATTCTGACTTTCAAAAGATTTTGCCGTCGCTAAATTTCGCGTTTATTGCAACAGTGATATTGATAGATCTTGCTTCGCGTGGAAAGTTGCAAATCTATATAGGATCGTATGTATACATGATATCCAAAAATTACGTATAATTCGTGAAACTTTTTTTGTTTATATGTTTTTAATAAACAACAAGCACCGATTAAAACTTTCACAATCACATTTACATTAATTAAAGTGATCTTGATAACATATATTACACAGAATTATTGAACTCACACATGACCGCCTTTGAAGAATTATCCTTAACTTTCTTTCATACGCCATTTCTCAAGTTTAGCTACTTTTTATAGCCTTTTTTCTTAATTTTCTGTATACTGGTCACATTTAAATATTTTAGCAAATGGACTGACGATGCTTTTTCTTAATTTTTCTTGTGCTACAGATTTATTTTTATAGTTAATAGATCTGTGGCAGTTCTTTCCCTCTCTTGTTTTGTGTTTCCCTCTCTCTCTCTTTTCTTTTTCTCTTTCTATTCCATATTACCTTTTCTTGATTTTTAGAAATATTTTTTCCATCTTTATCACATTTCTTTTTTTTCTTCTTTAATGTACTTTAGTCAGGTTTCACAATCACTTAAAAGAATATTTGTCATCTGCAAGTTTAAATAATTCCACAGAATTATTTACTTCTGTCCCTTTTGTTGTTATAATATCTGTTTTTTTTTCTATCTTATGATGGTTCTCTATTTTTCTTTTCACTCCCTAATAGCAAAAATTATTCCTTCTTTCCACTAATATTTTATGTAAGCAGTCTTTTTAATTTTAATAATTTATAATAAGGACCTTGCAAGAATTTAATGGAAAATGGCTGAACTCGAATTGGCTGAATTTTTTATATGTTTGGTTAAAACATTCTAATTAGAAGAGTGAAAAGTTTCAATAGACACAACTCTTGAAAAAACACTTGTGCCAATTGTTGTGTATAATGTTTTGAGTCATAGGGCTTTATGTAAAGTGATTCATTTTAATCTTAACAGGCAAATCTTTTGAAAAATATGCGAAATACGAACAAATGTTTCAGATAGAAGTTATATGGTTTTAAAGGAGACATAAGATGGTGTCATTAATTTAACCTTAGTTACTTGAAGGTCACGTGAAGTGTTTTCTTTACACCAATTAATTTCTCTCATTATTTTGTACATAAAAGCATTAAGGTATTAAGATAAGATAATCGAAAAATGAATATTTTACAAGATATTTTACGGTTTATGTAAAATTAAGAAACGATTTCAAGGCTCATAACTCGGAAAGTACTTAATCAAAACTAACTTAATTATAATATTTTGGAAAGCTCTCGAGATAAGCTATAAGAATATCTAATAAAAAATAGGCAGTTCCATTTAAAAAATTAAGGGTGACTTTCACGTTACCTTCCCCCCGAATGGGTCTCCACCTTGGCGTGGTGAAGGTGCTTACGGTCGCATCCGGGCCCATCAGTTAAGGGGTGGAGACGGGGGCCAACGAAGAAGGACTCCCCCAAGCCAAGGTGTTAAAGAAACCGTGACGACGGTTGCGTAGCGCAGGGGGTGCTGCGTCTCGAACGGTTCCTCCGGATACCGGGCGACTTCCGGAGTATACAACCAAGCCCCAGCCATTCGCGGCTCTGGTTGGGTGATATCGCGCATCCGTGGTTCTCGTGGGACGAAAATAAGCAGTACTAATACAAACATACGTACGATAACAACTACGACAAAGGACACCACAATGGACAAAGTCCTCCAGGGCGTGGCTTCCTTAGGGAGCGAACGACCGGAGAAACACAACTCGGGGATACCCAAAATCCGAGTCAGATACAGCGGAGCAGCAAGGAAACGATATATGAAACAGAGGGAGGGAAGGACTACTGAAGCCTAAATTCCTCCCGCTGGAACTGATTCTACTCTTGGGCTCAATAGCGGTGGAGCCCCGATTGTGGCGCTTAAACGCGCCCGGCCGGGGAACACCCCTAGCCTCAACGATACTCGCCAGGGCAAACGACTCAAGATCATTGATTAAAGGTCATATGCTCAAGCAACGAAAGGATTTGTCAGACTAGCCCTCATTTTGGAGGGCTTTCCTGACAAGAAGCTAGGCGCCGCGGATTGTGTATCCTCGAACTACCCGAGGGTACAAAAGCTCCCATATTCTCCGGCTCCTGAGAAAGAGACGGGACATTCGTTTTTGGCTGCGACGACGAACAGTCGGGGGACTGGCTGAAAAGCTATCCTCCGACCTGAAAATAGGAAACTCCCTACATGTAGTACCAGTCGATGAGCTGCCTAGTGTGGTACGCCATCGAGTGGTGGTACACGTGGAGGACCCAGACTTGTCTGCTGAAGATGCCTTGTGGCTCCTCGGCAGACAAAACGCAGGACAAACGCAGGCAACCGGAGATTAGATCATCACCCGGGAAAGCGTGAGTAGGGATGCCACGAGCACTTCACCTGTCTGGTCGGGGATCGATCTCTAGACGCCCTGAAGTCTTGCAATTTCAGGTCTAGGTGCAGTCTCGGATGGGCAACCGTCAGGCTGCTCAAAAGGGAAAGAGGCAGGAAGCCTGATTCCGTGGAGGGAATACCAGAGGAGGCTGCCTAAACATGACGGTCTCCACGATACCCATCACCCAAATTAACTTGCATCACAGTAAAGGCGCCTCGGTTGTTCTTGCCAGGAGCACTGCTGCGATGCACATACACATTGCCATTATCCAGGAGCCTTGGCTCCTGAATAATGCCATCAAAGGTTTGGGCGACTGTGGAACTATTTTCAAAGCCTGCTCGAACCGCAAACTAAGGACATGTATTGTAGTAAAAGGCCTTAATATCACCTTTCTACCTCAGCTTAGCAGCGAGGATCTAACGGTCGTTCGAACGAGCATCAACCTAGAGAAGGGGAAGACAATGGACTTGCTCATAGGGTCAGTATATATGCCCTATGATTCCTGCGATCATCCACCTCAGGACAACGTCAGGAGCTTGGTTGCTCATGCCGAGGAAGCAGGACTCGAACTCCTCCTGGGCTGTGATGCCAACTCTCACCATGTTGGTTGAGGGAGCTCAAACATCAACCCGCGACGGGAGGAGCCTGCATGATTTCATCCTAAATAAGGGACTTATCATTCTAAACAGAGGTGCGGAACCTATCTTCATAGAAGACAGGAAGTAATTGATATTACAATTTATACCAAGAGCGTGTCTGAACTGATAAGAAACTGGAGGGTCTTACAAGGAGAGGTCGCGACCTTGGGGTCACCGAATTAAATAAATTTTAAGTGCGTGTAGAACTCGACCAAAGAAGTTTTTGAGGAAAGTGAGAGGACCCAACGCTCAGCCGTTTAAAAAAAACCAAGTGAAAAATAAGCCGTATCTTGTATACCGGTAAGTTTAGACTGATTGTTAAATAAGCGGCGTAGCTCGGGCGGTAAAGCCCGATACTATTATGCTGCTGATCACAGGTTCGATCCCGACCTGTGGTAGTTTCATTTTTTTTTCTTTTTTTTACGCGAAACGTACAATATTTTTTTTTAATGAAAAAAATTAAATAAATAATTTTTTTTTGTTTTTATTTTATTTTTATTTTAGGAAAGGCAATTATTTACGATATGTTAATTTATATTAAATTTTATAAAACGTCACAATTCTATATATTCTACTCGATACTAACAAAAAAATATATAAAATTATTATGCCATTTATTAATTAATTATAATTTAATATGAAAGTAAAAGTTTTTATGATAAATATCATCCGAACAATTGTAATCGATCTGCACAAGATGTAAATAATTGCTTTTCCTAAAATAAAAATAAAATAAAAACAAAAAAATTAAATTATTTATTTAATTTTTTTCATTAAAACAAAATATTGTACGTTTTGAGTTAAAAAAAAAATGAAAAAAAAAAGAAACTACCATAGGTCGGGATCAAACCTGTGACCAGCAGCATAATAGTATCGGGCTTTACCGCCCGAGCTACGCCGCTTACTTGACGATCAGTCTAAACTTACCGGTATACAAGATACAGCCTATTTTTCACTTGGTTTTTTTCTGAGCGTTGGGTCCGCTCACTTTCCTCATAAACTTCTTTGGTCGAGTACTACACGCACTTAAAATTTTATTTAATTCGGTGACCCCAAGGTCACGACCTCTCTTTGTTAGATGAACATTCAGGATCCGACCACAGACAGATACGCCTCACTCTCCGCCAGCAACCTACGATCTTGCGAAGACGGAATTCCAGGAAAACGAATTAGGACAGCTTCAGGCTGGACTGGAGGAACAGACTGAATTCCGTCCCGACCAGATTCCATACCAGGGACAATCTGGAAACTGCCGCGTCATGCTTAAGCCACAGTATACAGGGTGGGCCATTTTAAGTGATCCACTCAAATATTTCGGAAAATAATGAAAAATCAAAAAAATGTTTCAGATAAAAGTTGTATGGCTTGAAGGGGGCCATTAGATAGTGGCAATGATTTGACCTTGGAGAGTCATTTGAAGATGACGTAAAGGTAATCTTCAATTTCTTAAATGGAACTCCCTATTTTTTATTACATATTCGTGTAGCTTATCTCGAGAGCTTTCCAAAACACTATAATAAAGTATTTCTTCATTGAGTACTTTTCGAGTTATGAGGCTTGAAATCATTTCTTAATTTTGTATAAACCGTAAAATATCTAGTAAAATATTCATTTTTCGATTATCTTGCTTTAATACTTTTATGTACAAAATAATGAGAGAAATTAATTGGTGTAAAAAAACACATAGTTGTTTCAAAGAAAAAATATGTAATTGTTAATTGCAAATTATATATTTTTTCTTAAAAATTACTATAATATAAATATTTTCTTAATTTTACGTAAACCATAAAATATTTAGTAAAATATATTTTTTTCAATTATCTTATCTTTTTTCAATTATCTTATCTTAATACTTTTATGTAAAATAATGAGAAGAATCAGTTGGTGTACATAATTGTTTCTAAGAAAAAATATGCAATTTGCAATTAACAATTACAAATAATTATGGTGAAATATTCTCTTGAGAAAAGTCGGTTTTTATATTTCTGAGTGAATACTATCGAACAAAACAAAAAAAGATACAAAGAAAGATTCGAAAAAATTTTATGATTTTGAATGTACTTTATAATCAGAGCCTGAATCTCTTTCTCTCGGCGAAGTCTTCCCCATTCAAGCATGCTAGCGGCCGAACGTCGCGAAAAGCAATACCATCTATGCTAGTCCAGTGATAGCAAAGAGGATACCGTCGCGTCGTGTAAAAAAAAATATACTTATATATATATATATATAAGTATATTTATATATATATATATATATATATATATATATATATATGTATATGTATATATATATATATATATATATGTATATGTATACTAATATTGAAATATATGTTTATTTAATATTATACATAATATATATAAATGAATAAAAAATAAAAAATATAAATAATATAAATATAAATAATAAAAAATATAAATATAAAAAACAATATACAAAATAATGAAAATTTTAAACAATACATGTAAATGTAAATAACAATGTAAAATAACATGTAAATAACATGTAAATACATGTAAATAACATGTAAATATATATAATAAATTATTGGTAAAGGTTGACATTAGGGAATATTAGGGGACATTAGGGTTGACTCACCTTTGACTCTCATTTTGATATATGTTATCAAGATCACTGTTCTGAGTAACATGTAAAAGATTTTACTCGTCGCTCGTTGTGTTAAAAATACATGTAAATGTAAATAACAATACATGTAATATATATAATAAATTATTGGTAAATATATATAATAAATATAATATATATAATAAATTATTGGTAAAGGTTGACATTAGGGAACTCACCTTTGACTCTCATTTTGATATATAGTATATTATCAAGATCACCGTTCTGAGTAACATGTAAAAGATTTTACTCGTCACTCGTTGTGTATTAAAAAGTTATTAAGAATTAGATTTTACGATAAGAACAGGATTTACAATTGTACAATTTCATGTAAATTTTACAACATTCCGTTTATACATACAGGTAGATAAACATATTAAAGGAGGGGGGGGAGAGAGAAGAGAGAGAGAGAAAGAGAGAGAGAAGGGGTAATTATTTATTTTATGGAAGCAATTTCTGATGATTTTGATCTTGAGATATGTTATAGTGGTCACCTTTCTGAGTAACCTTCAAAAGATTTTAGCTTGATTCGTTGAAAAGTTATCAACATAAGAAGTTATAATGGAATGTAAATTTTATTGACACCGTGTAGATAGAACTATAGTATATATAACCTATATGACATGAATTGTAGTATTCTTAATTCTTATTCATATACAAGTGTTCAGTTGTTCCTTAGATATCATTGTGAACGATTTCTATTACTTATTCTTGTAAGTTCAACCCTTAACAAATGAAACATATTTTTTTATG